ATGGAGGGAGTAGCCGAGCATCACACTATTTCTGGGTCTACAAATCAGGTTTAAGACGAGGGATCAGTTGTGGGTGCTGACCGAACCGATATTGACAAACGGGTTGTAAAAAATAAACTAGCTGTAGATCGATATGAGATTGGTGAACACCAAACCCCAAAACAAGTCAGTTATGTGGGTCTCTCAGTGACGGATGGATAACAACGTTTCGCTTTTGCTTATTTTCATGTAACTTGATGGCATTTGAGTAAAAGATCACCTGCGTAATCACATTATTATTAGACATGGTAATAATAATATTAATAATAATAAGATCTGTTTTCACCATCACTGCCGCTGGTGCACCAATGGAGTGGGAAAACTTCAACTGGTCGATGGGTGATTTCAGTCTATCGATTCTACACAGTCTTTTTCATTCGAAAATATGTTTGCGCATTCGCGAATTTCGTGCCCCCCCCCCGCCCCCCGCACACACACACATTCACACAGATGTTTGCACCATACGCCCAAACCGATGCTTTCAAATACGCATCCGAATTAGTTAGATAAAACCTGCATTCACAATAATTCACTATCAACAATAGCTTAGATTTTCTGCAATTTTGAGTGAAGCTGGTAAATTGGTAAAAGTAGGAGAAAACTTGATAGATTTTATAATGTCGCCAATGGTTACTTTTATCATGATGGTCTTCATTGCTAGACGACTGTCCCTTAACTCAGACACATCAGACAATTTATCGTACAAACAACAACGATGAAAAGTCAAATTTCCCGTTGATAAAACTTACTTGTTTGAACAAGTTTTTTCTGATCAATCGCGCACAATTCAAATTTGAGCTAATATCAGAAATGTCTCCACGGAAGAATCACAGCTGGTTCTCCATCCTCGAATCTATCAACCTGTTGGTTACATTCAACACAGTGAATATCCTGTGTTGGTCCCTTTTCTCTGTAACTGCCCTTGTCACGTCTACGTGACCGCAGTAATGTCAACTCAGGAAACAGATAATGTGAAATGACCTCCAGGTGATTTGTAAAGCTTTTTTGCACATCGTACACGCCATTGCGTAATAATGAACTGAAGTGATGCTTTTGATTTTGTCATATATTTGAGAAGAAAATCACTTAGTATTCACGCGTATTGGTTTGGTGGATAACTGGACAAACTTTGGGACACCAGGGATTACAAATCAAAAACATTCTTCAATCGGAACAGTTTGAGCGTTTGGTTCACTTATAATTTGTGTCAGTTCAAATGCATACATATGCTCACAAAGTCATGACAAATCGGGATTTCTCAGCAACTTTTCATTTTTGATTATATATATATATATATATACATATATATTCGTCACAATAACCTTGTTTACACCACCGGGTGACTTTTGGAAAGACAGCTCTTTTAGAGCCAATCGATTGAACAATCAATGCCATGATTCCATTTTTTTGTAGATAGATGCTACTAACTGCAACGAACGTGACTTGGTCGTCTTTATACAAATAAACAGAAAAAAGATTATCGAATATGTATGCCTGACGAGCGGCAAGAATCGTGAAACCGGTTGTGTGCTTCCAGGAAAATTTTGTCCAGTCATTCACGTACTAATTATTACGAAATATATATATATATATTTATATATAAGTTCACACAAACAGCTACAGGAGCAACTGAAAAGCTTGGAAAGCTTAGCTGACGAGCACTATGTGTTTGATCACCGTAGAACCCTAATAAAATTTAATACATCATAGAAATGGTCACTGTTTGGTGAAATTTCACCACAAATGGATACTCAAAATATTTTTGATTTAAACTATACTTATGTATCCCTCGGATTTCGCCTTCACTCACAATCCTCAGTTCATCCAGTCAATCATACACTTGAAAGCACTGGAATTTTCACACAGTAACTGTGAGTTAAATGCAATTTATCAATCCAGCCGAGTAGGTTTGTGATATGGAAGATCTGATTTGGTATCGGGTTTTCGATTGGAGTTAACAGATAGTAGTCGACTGGTCTCCCTTTGTTGCTGTCGAGCTCAAAGTGAGTTGAGTGACCATCACGGAAGACGAAAAGTGAATTAGCGATTTGGTTCAGCCCTGGAATGAGCTGGTTGTCACAGTGGTAATACACACGCGTTTCATGCGATGGGTCCGAATTTTAAATCCTGGACGGGACGGTGGATATACGCTACTGATGAACTCTAATAAGAGCGAAACTCGAGTCTAGTATTTCCAAGTGTATGTTGGACGGTATGAACTGAGGATTGTACGTGAAGGGGAAACCCGAAGGATAGTCTGTTTAAATCAATATAAATTATTCCACATTACTACACACAAGTAACTGTTGGTCAAATGTGGATGCACAATTCACACAAAGTGAAAAATAAATCAACTGCGGGAGGTCAGTACAAAGAACATGGAATGCTGGTTCACTGAAGCACCGGTTATTCCCTCCTGGGTACGGGTTAGTTGAACAGGCATGGAGGACAATCTTCCAACAGGTTGAACGAAACTTTGTTTTGCTTCTTTTAACGTGCAATACGTGTACAGCATTTGGTGGCATACGGAGAGAGAGAGAGATGAGACACTTTATATCCGAAATCTTCTGGTGATTGTCCGGTGCATTCTTTTTCACCTGATAACACGAAAGAATGTCACGTCGACCCGCTCCCTATAGGTATCATTTGTTTGCATGTGACTAGGATTGGTTAGTGTTTATCCTCATTGGTACCTTATCGTTGTACCATGATGACCGGATGACTTGTGTGCTGAGCTCCGCAGGTCAGCAATACGCGGTCATCTTTTGTGGTAATCAATTTATTCGTACCCCTTTCCCTCTCGCTTGTCAAGACTTATTCGGGTTGATGGCCATTTGCCAGCCCCTAGCCGGTCAAATGTTTGACCCATGCGTGTTCATTGACCGCGTAAACAAATGTGAATAGAGCGGCACACATGCAACGCTTTCTTTACAAACAGGTGGTCTAAACAAACAAATGCCTCGCTCGGATACGCGCGAGGGTGCTGGAAGCTATATTCCAGCACAGCGAGAATCTGTGCCGTAAACTCTGTGAATGTGTTACACAGAAAAATCAATTCACCTCCTCCCAGGGAATCAGTCATTCCGTGAATATGGAAGAACATTGAACTGTAGAGAGTTTGACTTGATGTTAAAATTTCGCCCACATATATACGTTGCCAAGTTCGATTTTATTCCATCTTCGACAACCTGCTGATATTGCTTGATACGTGGGGGTGGACTAGCGGCAGGAGGGGGGCGGGGGCGGTGGCTGTTGATAATTTCCCTCAGTTAGATGTGGTTGACAACAGCACCAATTTGCACACTCAACTGTATGATTCATATCTTTGTGGAGCTACCGCACACGTTGATCTAATTGTGATCGCTAGTTACCCTCTTCCCTTACTGAAATCTTCACGTACTCACACACATAAAGGAAGAGAAAAGAATAAAGTATTTTGTTTTCAAATCTTTATTGTTACTATTTTTATTATCACTGTTATTAGTATGTGTGCACATAGTCCTTGAAACACACGGAGACTAGGTAGAACATATGCAACTCCGATTGTTGATATGAGACTGAAATAGTTTTCATCCGCTTGTTTCACTCTAAAATAATGCTGTTTTATGCTCGAGTAATACTTTTCATTGTGAATGGACTGGGGGTTTGGTCGCGTGATACACGCATAGTTTCTCGACGAAGCTCTATTGCAATTGAGTGATTTGAATGTAGTCCATATTTCGGATTTTCTACTAGACTCCCATCGGTCGCGTACCTGTGAAATCAAATAAAAGTTGACATATATGAATATAATGAATTAAGAAATGTGATTGGCTTTCACGAGACTCAAGGCACTGTGTGTGTATGCGCGCGCGCAGTACGGGGTACCCAGAGCGGGCTCGTTGTTGTGAAATATTGATAAAGCGCATATTCAC